AAGCCAGGAGCCAAGAGCTTCCTCCAGGTATCCTGCATGGGTGCAGGGGCCCAAGGAGTTGGCTGTCTTCTGCTGCTTTCCCAGGCCAGCAGAGAGCTGGATTGGAAGTGGAGCAGCGGCTGGCACTGTGGCATAGCGGGGAAAGCCACCGCCTGCGGTATGGGTGCCAGTTTGAGTCCCTGCTGCTCCACTTCCAATCCAGCTCTCTGCTATGGCCTGGGAAAGCAGTAGAAGATGGCCCAAGTCCTTTGGCCCCTGCACCTGTGTGGGAGACCCAGAAGAAGCTCCTGGCTCCTGGTTTCGGATCGGCATAGCTCCAGCCGTGGTGGCCAATTGGGGAGTGAACCTTCGGATAGAAGACCTCTCTCTCTCTCCCTCTCCTCTCTCTTTGTAACTCTGACTTTAAATAAATATTTTTAAAAAAGAAGAAGACGAAGTAGAGCAGCCAGGACTAGAACTGGCACCCATATGAGATGCCATGCCGGTGCCACAGGCAGAGGCTTAACCTGCTATGCCACAGCTCCAGCCCCAAGCCTAGAGGTTTTGTCAAGTTAAAATCATACAGAATATAAGAATAACAGCTGTTATATGTTGAGTACATAGAGTATGCCAGACACTGAACTACATGCTTCACATATAAAATTTGATTAATTTTTACAGCCTTATTCAGAGTCCTAGTAGCCCATTTTACAGATTATCAGTTGGAGGAGGGCTGTATGTTTGGCCTGGACCCCTACTGTGAAATTGAAACACTTTCCTGTATTAACCTAATCTTGAACCCATCAGCACAACAGTCAAACTAAACAAATACTCATATGCATGGACTTATTTTTTTAAGATTATTTATTTGAAAGAATTACAGAGAGAGAGGAGAGACATAGAGAGAGAGGTTTTCCATCCACAGGTTCACTCCCCAAATGGCTGCAAAAGACAGGGCTGGACCAGGCCAAAGCCAGGATCCAGGAGTTTCTTGGGGTCTCCCACATGAGTACAGGGGCCCAAGGACTTGGGCCATTCTCCACTGCTCTCCCAGGCGATTAGTAAGGACCTGGATCAGAATCAGAGCAGCTGGGAATCCAATCGGCGCCTGTAGGAGATGCCGGCACTGCAGATGGCAGCTTAACCAGCTGTGCCACAGCACCAGCACCATATGCATGGATTTCAAAATCTTTCTTTGCACTGAAGTAAACTTATGTTGCAATCCCACTTTTCTGTCTATGCTTTAAATTCCCCTGTAGTAACAAAGTGAAATTCATGGGCTTACTCTTGGCTTTTCCCTCTCAGGAGAGTTTTAGCTGAAATTCTGCCCTTAACCAGAATATGCACATCCTTTTCTTTTCTTGGACATTTATTTATTTATTTATTTGAAAGGCAGAATGATGGAGGGGAGAGAGATTGAGAGAGAGAGAGAGAGAGAGAGAGAGAGAGATCTTCCATCCACTGGTTCACACCCAAAATGGCCACAACAACCGGGGCTGGGCCAGGCCAAAGCCAGGAGTCTGGAACTCCATCCAGGTCTCCACGTGGGTGGCAGGGACCCATGTAATTGGACCATGATCTGCTGCTTTCCCGCGTGCATTCATAGGGAGCTGGATCAGCAGTGGAACAACTGGGACTCAAACTCATATGGGATGCAGGTGTCATAGAGCTGTGGGGAGTTGCTGCCCACAGGTAAACATGGCCTAACCTGGGGCTCGATTCAATCACAAGCAAACCGCAGCGGGGTCCGAGCTGAGCAGGCCTCCTCCCTCCGTTTGCAGGAATTACAGAGGCAAACCTGTTCCTGTCCACTGCCTCTGGCATCCTCAGCCCTGGGGAGCACAGGACCAGTATAATCCTGGATAGATCCCAGAGGCAGCCAGCACCAGCTTCCAAAAGACAACACAGGAGGCGCACCCACACCCCCAGCACCCACTCCCTTTCCTGCCGTGCTGCCCTCCTAGCTGGCTCCATGTGCCCAGCAGGTGTCCAGGCGTCTGGGAGCCCCATTATCAAGGCCCTGGCTCTCCACACTAGGGTGGTGTCATCAGGTTTTGGAGTTACACACAGCTCACTCCAGTCTGTTTCTTTTTTTTTTTTTTTTAAGATTTATTTATTTATTTGAAAGTCAGAGTTACTCAGAGAGAAGGAGAGGCAGAGAGAGAAAGAGGGAGAGGTTGGTTTCCAGTCCGTTGATTCACTCCCCAGATGACTGCAATGGCCAGAGCTGCGCCGATCCAAAGCCAGGATCCAGGAGCTTCTTCCAGGTCTCCCACATGGGTGCAGGGGTGCAAGAACTTGGACCATCTTCTGCTGCTTTCCCAGACCACAGCAGAGAGCTAGCTTGGAAGAGGAGCAGCCAGGACACGAACTGGCACTCATATGGGATGCCGGCACTGCAGGTGGTGGCTTTACCCGCTGCGTCACAGCGCCAGCCCCCTCCAGCCTGTTTCTTACCAGGTCTTAGGGACCTTGGGCTGGTCAGTCCCTCGAAGCCTCCACACCCTCATCCGTAAGGTGAATGTGGTGACACCTCCCCGCAGGTGTGCCAGCGGGTCAGGGACGGCTGAATATGAAGGTCTTAGCCCAGCGCGGCCCAGGGCAGGCAGCTGCTGCAGTGTTGCTGGAGGTGTCCTAGTGGCCCTATTGAGGGCACCTGTGCTTTTCAGAGTCCCCCGAACACCAACGGCTATGAAGGTCCCAGTGACGCGAGCAGCAGAATTCCAGGGATGTGGCGGGGGATGCGGGAGCAGGGCATTGCCCCCAAGCCTCTGATTCATTCAGACAAGGGCAGAGCTCTCTGAGCTTCCGCTCACTGGGGAGAGGCTAATCACAGCCCAGTGATAAAGAGGCAGAGTCGGAAGCCAGGAAGCAATGCCCGAGGACGTTCTGAAAGTAGAGATCAAAGAGTGTTGGGAAAAAAACTTAAGTGGTGTTTCATTCAAACATTTCAAAAAATTGTAGGTACTAAAGCAGCAGTCATTCAGGTCACTTCCAAATAGAATAACTGCCTGGTAGCTTTTTCTGCGGGAAGAGAGCACTGACTCTGGGGAAGACAGGTTAAGGCAAACCCTGTAGTTTGGCCACAAAGAAATGGCTTGGTAGAGCAGCTCCTCAAACTATCGTACTGTGGAGTCCTGGCCACGGAGCCTGCTGAATTGCACACTCCGTTTCTGTAGGTCAGGTGGGGAGCCTGAGACCTCGCATTTCTAACAAGCTGCCACGTGATGCGCTGCTGCTCCTCAGATCCCGCTTGGGGAGTCAGTGCTACCTCTAGACAAAGCCATCTTTGCCCTGCACTTATTTTAGGGGCGTGGCCAGCTATGCTAGCTTCTGCTCAAACACGCTGACTCTGTTTGTATCTGAATCAGCCCCTGAATTATCTCTCCTGCTCCCCCAACCCCAGTAGCGTGAAAAAGACCCAAACCACAAGTTGTTCCAGGACCAGACATGAAGAACATGAAGCTGCCACCCGAGCTCGCCCTCTGCTGGTGAACAAACGTCATTTTCTCCGAAACCCTCACCAGCTAATAGGGACAGCAGAGCAGGACGTGTTCCAGAGGTTTCTTTCACTCCTAGATTTTGGAGAACTTCTTCACTCTCTTCTTGTGCTACATTCCTCTGAAGGACACAAAAACGTCTGATCGACGCTCCCTGGAAACTCATGTATCTGAGTGCTGCCTACAGGTCCTCCCCACCCCTACTTTGCCATCCCAGGCACTTTGCACAGAGGGACCCTTTGTTTACTCACAGCCTGAACATGGCGAGGTCAGGAGTGAGCAGTGCTGCCTTTTCATCCAGGGTTGGATGGATCCAGAGACATCAAGGACAAAACAACAGTTCAGAGAAGGTGGGGGGACCCAGGTCACAGGTCACATCACCATCATTTCCTCCTTTCTTATCACCTACTCTGTGCAAGACTCAGGACCAGGAAAGGAGGATTCTAACTTTTGCACACCGAGCTAACGGTGTAACCATAACATGAGCACAGCAGCTCTGACATTGTACTTCCAGGGTCTTTGCTCTTGGCAAGCAGCATGTCCACACTTCCGTATTTCACCGTATCGGACCCTCACAGCAATCCTGTGGTCCTTCTCATTGCACAAATGAGAAAAGTGAGGTCCGGAGAACCAGGGCGACACCTCTAATTGTTGATAAAACCAGGAGGTTTAAAGAGCAATTGGTTATTAGCACTCACAGCTCTGGAGGTGATGGTGCAGCTTGGGGTTCCTTATACAATGCAGTCAGGTACTGACTAAAGTTGGAGCCAGGGTAGGGATGCTGTAAGCACCCAAGGGATGGCTGGATGTCCCTGTCCACACTTTCCACGTGGCTTCCCCAGAGCTTGGCCATCTCAGGGTAGTTGGACATTGTGCATGCTAGCTGGCTTCCTTCCCAACAATATTCCACAAATCCAGGCAGACACTGCAAATTTTCTGACAATGTAGCCTCTAAAAGCATGTAGCACCATTTTCACTGTGTTCCATCCGTCAAACCAGCTATAGGTCAGCTCAGAGTCAAGGGGAAGGGAAATGAACTCTGTCCCAAGAGGGGAATAGCTCATAATAAAGAGAGGTGAGGAATCGATGAAGTGAATCTTGGAGACAAGTCATCACACCAGGATTTGGCCCTAACCAGCCTGACCCCACTTCAGTGTTCTGGGTCATCACATTCCACCCACCCCCACACAAAGTAGACACAGCCATGATACATACTGGTGGAAAGGAGGAAGTGGTTAGCTCTGCTGTGGCAGGTCGGGAAAAGCTTTGCATCCAAGGACTCATCACACACAGCCCGCCCCTTGGTGCAGAAGACCATGCGTTATTTGAGGTGACCGAATAGCTGAGGACAAGACACAGCTCTGGAAGGAAGGAGCCTTGAAGTCCAGTCCCAGCCATGCCACGATGCAATGCTGGGGCTTGACAGGAACCAGAATGCCAGGAAAAGACAGCACTGAGGCCCCCGGAATATTGGCACAGTGGAATTTCTGACCATACTCTGCTCCACTCCCAACCCCCTAGATTGGAGACCCACACTTGGTGATCTGCATGGACTGCTCCGCAGATACCATGACCAATCGCCTTCTCCAAAGGAGCCAGAGCAGCCCGCGTGCGGACGACGCCACCAAGACCATCGCCAAGCGCCTCGAGACCTACTACCGAGCATCCATCCCCGTGATTGCCTACTACGAGACCAAAACACAGCTCCGGAAGGTGAGTCCCTCACTGCCCCTCCCAAATGAGCCGGTTACCCTTTGTCAGAGGAGAAGAGGCTGGGAAGTTGTTGGTGCAGGCATTTGGGAGTTAGAGCTGCACACAGCTACAGAATATGAAACAAAACGTGAGTCCCTTACTCTCTTCACTGTTGCCTCGGTCAAAATTAAATACCTGTCATCATATGGACCCTGAAAAACTGGTCATGTAAGTTCCACAGATCCATTACAGTTAACCAAGTTCTTTTCCTGAAAGAGAGGAAGAGATGGGGGCGGGTGGAGAGGAGAGAGGAAGAGACGGAGGGAGGGAGGAGAGAGGGTGGGCATCATAGGCACTGGTGCTGACTTTTTGGGTGCTTTTAGACTTCAGCTGAACAGATCAATCCAGAGCTCTCTTCTAGAGCTAAGAGTCAGTCTGAATTTCTAGAGTTTTTCAAAGGTCCTATCTGGGACTTGGCTCCTGTGCCTTAATTTCTTGCAATCACTAATGCCTTGGGTGAAGTAGAAAAGCAGATAGCTAACTGGAACAGTGAAGATACTGTGGCTAAAGGAGAAGCCACTTAATGTGCATGAGCCATAAATCTAGCTGATTCACCATTTATTTCACAGATTTAGAAAGCTACCCAATCCCCATTCTTTCCCTCATTCTGTAACCATGTCTCAGGTGCCCATGGTCCATCCATCGCCTCGTGGTCTGGATGAAGATGATATTAAGAAGCAAGTTCTTGCCTGCAGAGCTTGGGGTTTCAGCAAAACATGTGCTCAGTATGCGGTCAAAGCAAACACAGAGTCCTCAGGGCACTAGCATCTAGGCTAAGGGGAAAGGAACCGTATCCAGGAGGGTTGCCAGGGAGGACTGTGTTGGGTGCCTGGGGAAAAGGACGTGCTACACAGAAGGAGCCCCAAAGGAGAAAGATCAGGAGGCCCAGTCACTCCGCATGGCTGCGAGGAGGGACAAGAGATGGGGAAGGAGAGGCAAGCAAGGACTAGGTCAAGGTGAATTTCATAAAGAAACAAGTAACTGTCCTGTGGGTGGAAGGAACCCCCAAAAGGGGAGAGATCTAACCAGGGTTTCAGTCTACAAAGTTCACTCCATCAGTCTTGTGGAGAACAGGTCACCAAGAAGGCTGAGACACAACTGAGAGTCTGGGACAGACACCCAGGGACAAAATCCTGAGGATCCAAACCCAAGTGGGAGGGTGGGGATCCAACTCTTGCTATTCACACAGTAGGAGCCATCAGTCCATCAATAGCAAACGTGCTTCTGCAGCAGCCACATTAGGGACTCCTTGGGGAAACCAATGACAAGGAATTCCTCTACACCTGCTCATTGTCCACTTCCCAGACCCTTAATCAGCGCTGGGTGTAGAGGTCTGAAAGGTGCTTCTTGAGGTAACTGAGGGACGGCAGACCTCAGAGCTTCATCCTCGACCTCTGTCCCCTCGGCAGCCATGGCTGCTTCCCTGCTTTATCGGCGTGGCCTGCCAGGGTCTGTCCTCACGCACGCAGGGAGCTGCCGCCAGTGAGTAGGTCGTCACGTGCAAGAGGAAACTTCTTTGCTGTGCTTTGTGTGTGACCTCTCCTTACCACATAAAGCAAAGACTTTAAAAATAAACAAAAGCTGCAAAAAAAGTAAATTGTATACATGTAAAATTAAAAAAAAAAAGATTGATTTAAAAGGCAGAGCGACAGAGAGAGGAGGAAAGAGAGAGAGAAAGAGATCTTCCATCTGTTGGTTCACTCCCCAAACACTGCAATGCCTGGGCTTGGACAGGCTGAAACCAGAACCCAGGAACTCCATCCAGGTCTCCCATGTGCATGGCAGGCACCCAAGAACCATCCACTACTGCTCTCCCATGAGCATTAGAAAGGTGCTGGATTGGAAGCAGAGCAGGCAGGACTCAAACTGGCACTTGAATGTGGGCCGGGGGATGGAGGGAGCCTCACAAGTGGTGGCCTAATGCACTGAGCCATAATGCCAGCCCCAAGAGCAAGTTCTTAAGATTCAGGAGTGCAAAGGCCTCTCCGGGACTAGACAGTTCAGTGATACCTTCCTGTTCTGCAACCTCAAACATACCCAGTACTATCCACGTTCAAGATTTGTAAAGGAGAGAAACGTCTCTAAGTAGTTCAGGGTTTAACTACTTTCCAAGCCAGAAGATTTGTTTTATCTCTTTCTTGTATTATTCCAATCTGAATTCTGTAAACTCACAAATGCCTGGCACATGGAGACAGGACCAACAGCCTTCTCAGATAAATCTGATTTCTGGAATCCTCCTTAGAGCTCTCTATTTTGTAAGTAAGGGAAGTTTCCAGTCCTGTTTGGCTCGTTGCTCCAGCTTCCCCAGCACTTTGGGGATTCTGGGAGCTGAGCTGTGGTGAGGTAATTTCTATGATCCACTTGGCAAATATTTCGAATCGCTCTGGCCCAGACTGTAGAGCCGTGTGGGCCACAGCCTTTAGTTCTCCCAGAGGCCCTCAGGGGAACACTGCCTCAGCCCAGGACTGTCTCCTGCCCATGCAGCTGCAATGAACTTGGACACAAATACGAGGCTGCATCAGAAAGTTCCTGAAAATGAAATTGAAAGACAACTTTATGTCAGTATAAAATATATTTGAGGGACAGGCGTATGGCACATCCAGACTTCAATGTCCGAGTTGCCCTAGCAACACTCCTGATTCCGCCTTCTTGCTGACGCACACCCTGGGAGGCAGCAGGTGATGGCTGAAGGACATATGTCTCTGCCACCCATGTGGGAAACCAGATTGAGTGCCTGGCTGCAGGCTTTGGCTTGGCCCAGTCCTTGCTGTCATGGGCATTTGGGGACTCAGCCAGCAGACAGGGTGTGCTCACTCTTTCTTTCTCCCTCTTATCTCTTTTTCTCTGCCACTCAAATAAAATGAATAAATAGATGGCTGGCACTGTGACACACTTGGCTAATCCTCTGCCTGTGGCGCCGGCACACCAGGTTCTAGTCCCGATCGGGGCACCGGATTCTGTCCCGGTTGCTCCTCTTCCAGTCCAGCTCTCTGCTATGGCCCAGGAGTGCAGTGGAGGATGGCCCAAGTCCTTGGACCCTGCACCTGTATGGGAGACCAAGAGAAGCACCTGGCTCCTGGCTTCGGATCAGCACGGTGCGCCGGCCGCAGCGGCCATTGTGGGGTGAACCAACGGAAGGAAGACCTTTCTCTCTGTCTCTCACTGTCTAACTCTGCCTGTCAAAAAAAAATCAATAAATAAATGTTTTAAACCTGGCATATTTAAACAAAAAAATTTGAATTCATGCATATGAGAAGTCCTCAATAATTTCATGGAAAATTGGTATTATAAAAAAATTATGCATGAAGTGCCCAAATTCTTACTCCCACATAAACTTCATCTTTTGTTCTTTCTCGATCCTGAGGATTCCACGCTGTGACATCTAGAGACAGCAGGGGCACAAAGGCCTTCCTCAGCCAATGGTTCACCCCCCATTGGCCGCTGTGGCCAGCGCACCGTGCTGATCCGAAGCCAGGAGCCAAGTGCTTCTCCTGGTCTCCCATGCTGGTGCAGGGCCCAAGGACTTGGGCCATCCTCCACTGCACTCCCTGGCCACAGCAGAGAGCTGGCCTGGAAGAGGGGCAACCGGGACAGAATCCGGCGCCTAGACCGGGACTAGAACCCAGTGTGCCAGTGCAGCAGGCAGAGGATTAGCCTACTGAGCCGCAGCACTGGCCAAATTTATCTTTTAATTCAATTTTTTTTACTCTTTTTTTTGGAAGTCACCTTGTACATCTGGAATGAACAATCCCATGATGTTCTGTTTCCCACCCTCCCCCAAAACAATGTTTTGTCCTGTATTTGAGAAAGAATTAGAAGAGCTGTCCTCCACCCCACCCCCTAGTCCCGGGCACTGGGGCAAGACACCGTTTCTCAGGAGCTGCCCCGCCCCCCTCACAGCAGAACAGTCACCGCCAGCTGACTAGTTAGCCCAGGAGGAAGTAGTTTTCTTTCACCTTAAGAGAGAGAATGTATTGTTGAGTGAATCATTGAAACATAGCACTTGGGCGTGAAAAGCATAGCCACTGGCCAAGGACTCCTTAGTGCACAGAGTACTGGCGCGGGCGTCAGAAAGTCCCGGCCCAGCCCTGTGAATTGTCAAACAGTTCTCTTGACAACCTTATTTCCCCAGACAACTAATGTGAACAGTTTACTATGTTTTTCGCTCTTTCCCTCCTCCTCCTCCCTCCTGACCCAGATCTCTCTACCCTGTGCACACCCCCGCCCATGGTGATGAGTTCTGATTTGGTGAAGATACCACCATCCCGCACACTTGTCTCTGGAACGTGTCCAGGTGAAGACCTATCACAGTGAGGGGTCCCTTTGGCTGCCACTGATGTGGGAAAACTTATATAGATAATTTTACGTTCCTGAGCTGGAAGCCACACTTCCCTCACTCTGTGTTGCCATGTTCACCTACCTGTCAATCAGGTAACCCCTCCCCAGGAAGTTCTTCCTCTTCCCCAGGACGTGGGGTGGTACCCTGTAAACACTCAGTTTTCCAAGTTCATGAAAAGCTGGGTAAAAGGGAAGCTCGCTCTCTCTCCTCCTGTGGCCTCAGGACCAGCAGAGCAGGGTATGAAAATTCCCCTTTACCTCCCTTGGCCGGCTCTCCCTAAACAAAGCCCTCATGTGCCTGTGCAGTTTTCTCACTTTGTAAGTAAACCTATCACACCGCACGCCGAGTTTGTGCCTTTACTTAGAATTCTTCTCTGAGTCAAAGGCAAGAGTCTGGAATATTAACTTAGGCCCAGCCTGGCCTACAACACCACAAAATGTGCAGAACATAGATACTCTACAGCGTATTCCGTCAGCTGCCTTCTCGTTTCGTTTGGTTGTTTTGGTCAGATTCTGACAACCACGCAGTAAGCACACATCCTGAATTGGTCTTTTTTTTCTACTGGGAGACACCACTGAACTGTTTATGGAGAGGTGCTTTGTTTCACCCATTTCCCTTTCTC